TTCTGATAGCTCTGCCAGTCGTCTGCGCCAGGAGACCGCCGGAAAGCAATTTGACAGCGAGCTCGACAGCGGTTTTAAGCGGCCATGAGAGATGCGTGCGCTGCTTCTTTGCAAGGTTCACCGCGAACTATCGCGACAGGCGGGTCGCCTCAGCACTGAGCAGCGCCTGATGCTAGCTTTTCCAGGGCCTCAATGCCGCTGCAATGAGTTCTCAAAGCCATCACCAGCCACTTGTTCCTCGGTCGATTGATCATCGAGCTCACGAGCAATATCATGGGGGGCAAGTTCCAACCAGTAGATGGCCAAAGCACGGCTCTTATTCGTGAGCTTAGATTTAAACGAGGTTTCTGCTTTGGCCTCAACTCTATGACTGGGCTATGAAAACGTCCATATTTTAGTTTCGTCTTCGAGTCTACGGGGGCTCAGCTACCGCCACAAGATTACAACGACGGTGGTCACTTTCTACATACACGCGTCTTAGACGAATGTATATACGGAGTATCTCGTTGGGTGATTGAGGCGGCTTAGTATCTACATGGCGCTAGCAGGGTGTCCTCACGGCGCTACCCTCTTTAAAAGAGAGGAGGGACAATTACATCAGTTATCTAGGGGAAGGACGATTACTCCGTCAAGTCTCCCGCCCCCTGCACTAGGCTGCTCCTGTACTGACGTCCGATCCCTCGGTTTCGGGCGCGCTTCCCGATCCGTTCTTATTTTGGTCTCTTTTTCGCGAAATTGCCTCTAAGCTTCATCAGGACTCATCAGGAGAGACGCCCAGCGCCAACGGCTTGATTTGATTCGACAATAATTGCGCTTGTTCAGTAGCATTCAAACGGTGGTAGGTGCTTCTTTTCTGTACGTGAAACCCCTGCTTTTCGGCCCGCCGCTAGTTCTACCAGCATCAGCATCATCATCGGGTTTAACATACCTGATTGATCTAACCCAGACTCCAATTGTCAAGGAGAGGGGAAGCTTTCCTGTCTGGTGCCTGAGCAATGGAGTCGCACAGAGAAGAAGAGGGTGGGCTGGCCAGCCTGCATGACCGGGGGCAAACGGCAGAACCCTCCCCCCTGGCAGAATTGTCCATCTTGGCTGCACTGTGCAGCCTGCAGACGGGTTTTAACTTTTGCTTCTTGCACGGCCGGCAAGGTTAGGTAACAACCCAACAAGAAGCGCCAAGAGGGGAGCGAAGAGCGTGTGAAGATGGGAGAAAATGAAGATACAAGTGAAACACCATGAACGCGATATCAAATTCGACAATCAAGCCATCACCGGTATCAAGCATGGGCCAAACAGCCAAGCGGTTTCGAGCCATACAACCGAAAAAGTGAGGCATCACATCTACACTCACGGGCGGGGCGTCCCCCCTGGATCAAGAATAGGAAGGAGAAATGAGAAAGGCCACAAGAAAGGGTAACAAGACCAACAGAGTCATGTGCGTTCGGCCCAGCGCCATCGCCATGTCGAAGAAGTCGGGCGCGTGAATCCTCCAGATGTGAGCCTGGCACCCTCCTTTCCCGCTTTCCCATCTTCAAAAAAATCGGTTGGTCGTGTACACGTCACGATGCTCATGCAACGTGACGAGACGGCCATGACTGAAAATAACGGTCGGTCGTGATGGGTCTGAACAGTGAAGACTGAGACTCTGAGGTCATGTTGTCCAGCCTTTTGCAGAAGGCGCACGGCTTAGAGTTCGTGGCACATGATGAAAATGGGAAATGGTAGAATCATTCGCGTAGTCTGTACCTACCTTTTGCTGCGGCTTGCGTAAATGAAATCTAAAAATTCCTTCTTGCACAGCAATCGGCCCTGTGGTCAGTGATCACTCGTGACGACAGGTTTCCTTCGGCAGATGGGATTCATTCATCCTCTCTTGACTCGTCTCGACCTGTTTTCATCTTTTCCGGTTTCGACTGACTCTGTTGGAGAGGAAGGGCGGCCGGGAAGCGGCAGGTGACAGGTAAAAAAGGCAAACAAGAAGCCAATTTGACATGCACTACGGAGTAAAATCCAATAGAAGCGAGATGCCGCACGTGACTGCTGTCTTCTCGCGGTTCGTGATTCGCTCGCTTTTACCGATCTGCCTGGTACGGCAATCTGGCCTCGTGCCGGATTGCTGGCTGGATGTTTTTGATGCCCCCATTGCCCCACCCCAACCCTACCAACCCTTGTTCCACTTCCCCGCGCTCCAGGGAACTGTGGGTCTGCCAAGCCGTCGGAACAAGGCAAGGAAGACAACACTACGGAGTATACTCCATATGTATGTATGACAGGAACATCTGAGATATACCTGGGTATACAGCCTGTGTAAAATTTGTCCGTGAAACTACCTCGCGATAACGCATTCGGCGCAGCCTGTCAATGATTTCGTTTCGTGTCTTGTCATTTCGATATTCCTGACATTCGTCCTTTCTCGAATCCAAGATTCCAAATCTCTCATCTCCTTTCCAACCGCCGACTCGACAGCATTCAGAGAGTTCGCCGCTCATGCGGTGCGCTTAGGTTTAGGGATGCGATGCACACATGTCTTGTGCGAGGGCCTCGGCAACATGCAGAAAAGGCAGAAACCGCGAGAAGCCAACCTCTTGGAATCTCGGGACTGCTTTCAACATGCGGTCTTGACTCTTGAGCCCAACCAAGGCAGCTTACGCCATCATCGCACGCCTAAAGTGACGCCCAAACCCGCCAGGCAGTCCTTCGGCTTCCTCAAACGCCATTCATGATTCATCATGGATCTTGGGACCACCCCCCTCGCCTCAAACAAGCCAAGTGTTCCATCATCTCGGCGAGAAGCATCAGACCTTGTATGCAACTCTGGCCCCCGGAGCAACTGCCAACAGCCAGCCCATTGGCAACAAATTATAAATATGATGTGAGCATTGACTCTTGAGCCAGGCATAGGTAAATGCCATCCTTTGTGGGGCCCACAGATCCTCATCCTAAACAATAAAATGGATGTGAAACGAGCTCTCACGTAATCTATGGCTGGCGATGCATATCTGCCCGAGCTTATGGACTTCGGCTTTGAAAATAACATCGGTTAGTTAGAACGTAAAGCCCGGACCCTGTTGAGGCACGTCGCCTGGGCAGTAATACCGAGCTGCGCCGGGCAATGGGCTGCGGCCTCAGTTCCGGCAAAGGAATCCTCTTCTGCACACGGAGTATGTATATAGTTGCAAGTTGCTCGTTCTCGCTATGTATGCATCAAAGCGAGGCACCTGCAGGCTGTGACTCGTCTGAAGTCACTCTCTCGAATGTCTTACCAACGACTTCAAACTTGAGGAGGGAACACGGCAAGCAGAAGTCACCTTTACGGAGTCACGTAGCACAGTTTCGCCTATGTTCAACATACAGTGACACAAAACATATGATGATATGTGCATACTGTGACGGTTTCCCGTAACTGCTCTGTCCGTTGCTTGCATGTACCTATATATCCCGCACTAAGCTGAAGTTCCTACCAGCTTAGTGTTCTGACCTTTTGGTCGGGTCGGTAGGGATGTCCGCGATTCCTCACAGGGGGGGGTTTTCTGCTCCCCGTCAGTCTAGGTGCACGTTCAGTTGCCAATGAGATCTTGCCAGCAGCTCCGCAGACACCCGCAGCACAGTGACGTAAGACGGGCGGACAGACAATTGGTGGCGATTGGACGAGTTTTCTGTCTGTTGGAATGAATCCGTCAGGTTGCGTATACGCGTTTGTTTGGACTGACATGAACAATCTGTTGTATTCATGGGAGCTAGCTAGAAAAGAGAGAAAGGAAAAAGTGGGCAGCCATTCCTCGTGGTGTTATACCACGAGGTGTATTGGCTTCGTACGTGCTCGTTGAGGACACGTACAGCGGCCACCCGCACGTACAGGTGTCAGCAGCCACGTACAGGTGTCAGTGGCTACGTGTGCGCTAGTGCCGTTGAGGGCAGCGATTCCAACACCGTCTCAAGGATCGGACCGGGGTAGTGGTAGGAGGGTCGTTGCCTCGACTACTGCGTAGCCTCGGCTTTGAGATGGGAACGTGTGACGGTTACTGTCAAGACTTGTGGGTTCACAACAGAGTGGGGTATCAGATGCTTGAGGTTTGGATCTCTGGCCTCTACCATGGTCCATACATGTGCGAGGCCATGTCGCGGCACGAAAACAGAGATGAGGCCTGGATGCTATCTATTCTGGAGTATCGACTACGAACAAGTAAGATAGGGAGAAAGGAACAATCCTCGGTTCCCGCCATGATGCTGATCGGACTTTACTCTCTCCCTGAGGGTCCCGCAGCCTTGTCACGTGAACGTCACGTGATAGCTCACGTCACGGCTTCAGCCCGTGACAGGCCCATCGTGTTATGGACCTTCGCTCCCAGCGCGTTTGTGCCTGAGGCCTTCTTCGGTCTCCGCCTCCGGTCTCCGCTCGGTGCTCCTTGTCCACGACCTTCCTGAGGCTAGTAGTTACTAGTGACCCTCTGCTTGTACCGATGTCCTTGACAGCTGAAGTTCCTACCAGCTTAGTGTTCTGACCTTTTGGTCGGGTCGGTAGGGATATCCGATTCCTCACACATACCTAGTCCACATTGATCAGACCCGGCGGAGAGAAAAATTGTAAGAATAGGGTACCTAATTTTTGTAGAACCGTGTTCTGTTCCAAGAAACCCCCACAAAACACCTACTATCTATCATATGATCTATGTACGCCACCGTACTGCCCCTTCTCCCACAACCTCATTCGTTCCCATTGCCCTGCCGTTATTCTGTTCCGAAACATCTGCACAGAACACCTACTACGCCACCGTACTAACCCCGCAGCAGTGACAACTGGCAGTTCCACTGGAACTGGACACATATCATTCATTGCCAAGGACTTCCCGCCCAACTGTTCTTCCGAAGCGACGCAATGTCCCCTTAGCCCCGAAGCACAGCGGAGGGCCGATGGGGGTCCTCCGACGTACTAGATTTGGAAGAAGGGCAGAAAAAGGTCGACGACAAAAATTTAAAACTTGCGAAAGTTGCTAAAAGGATGGACAGACGGGGAATCGAACCCCGGACCACTCCCAGATGTACAGACTAGAATCACCATGCTAAGGGAGTATTATACCACTAAACCATCCGCCCAATGATACTGCTGTTTCGGATGTTTTTATATCACTATAAACCCCCTTGTCTGTTGGATCTGAGAGAGAAGCAAGCCAACGCATGTTGATTGGACCCTGTGCTCCATTGTATTTTTGCAGGCCTGAAGGCTGAAGCTCCGACGTCCCGATGTTTTGAGATCGCGTTGCTATTACTCATTGCCTCCATCCCATCACGAAGTTCGCAGGCTGTCGCACGCCACATTGATGCGGCGCCGTGGTTGCCGCTGGCCGCCAATTCTGCTGCCGGTATTCATTGGTTCAGAGGTCCGATACATAGATCCGCAGTCTTGAGTCCTCGTCACCATCTCGTCTCCGTCTCGTGCCCGTTCGCGGCCATGTCTGAAGACGAAGCCGAACTCGGCCTCGATAGTCAATCAGCTTCTCGTATCGATCGCGATCGCCGGGCTCCGCGCTTCAGCTGGACGCCCGCATACGAAACGACTTTTTTCCGCAGCCTCTGCTCCAGTGTCCAGCTCGGGTTTCGAGAGAACAGCAGCTTCAAGACCGAGGCATGGGAGCGCGCCGCGAAGGCTCTAGAGGAGTGTCACTCCGCATTTCCTACGAAGAGCCACCTCATCAACAAGAGCGACAATGCGCGAAAAAGATTCCGACTCTGGCGTGGTCTGCGCGAGAACCCAGACTTTGAATACAATTCTATCACCAAGACGGTGACTGCATCGGAAGCTGCCTGGAAGGCGCATATAGAAGTGAGTGAGAGCTGCGTTGACATAGACGTGTCCTGTAGGGATTGGGAACATGACACGCAAGAGAGTAAAGGGGGCCAAACCCAGGAGCAAAAAACAGAAGGGGTGAGGATGGAAAATTAAGCTACAAGATGCTGACGCCGAAACACAGAAAGAGCCTCTTTCGAGAGCCCTCCGGGGTCGTCCATTTGATCACGAAGAATACATGGAGATACTGTATCCCGATGTGGTTGGGTCGGGCGGTGCCCCAAAAAGGGTCAAGAGAAGGCGGAGGAGGACCGAAGGAATGGCGAGGGACGATTCGGAGATGCCAGAATCTGACGTCTTGCAATTACAAACCGAGCATGCGACTAGCCAGAACAGCCTCCGTCTCATGCGATCGTCATCCGGTCTGAGGCAGGCCACCTTGAACAGAACCGCAGGACTGCGCCTCATGCCGACGACGACGGCATTTGCACGTCGAGCTGCACCATCTTCGGAGAAGCGGCAACGCACCTCCATTGCTGGTGACTCGGTCGCCCGGAATTCCGCGTCCTCGAGCAACATACTCTCCGACACAGCAATGGCCCACGCGCCCACCTGGTGCGAGTTGGCATTGGAGCAGTTCTTCAGTGATTTTGCGGATGAGAGCATGGAGCTGCAGATCAAGATTGCTGAGAATGTCTTGATCCACGAGAACAAGGCCATGATTTTTTGCAAGATGCCCCGGCGTCTTCGGCAGCACTGGGTAAAGGAACTCGACCAAGGATTTCAACAAAACTCGCCATAATTGCCCTACTTCAATCCCACTAGAAGACATACAGCAATGGGGCTTTTCCATGACGTGCTTTATCGGTTCCCTCTCTTAAAGGAGGCGACGCATTGATGAACGGATTGGCAAGCTCCCAGGTGAGGGTACGATGCCCTCAATTACAGACGAGTGATTTAGAATTCGTGATACCCGCGGCTTTGGCGTTGTTAGTATGGGAGTTTGACGTTTGTCATTTTCAGGGAGAATTGTGATTTTTTTGTTCTCCCTAGCGACATAATCTCTCCCCTATGCCTCTTGCTTGCATGATCAAGACGTGTGTCATGTATCAGTTCAGCGCATGTTTTTTTTTCAATTTACATCTTCCTAGATAGCTTTGGAATTAATGAATGAAGAGTGACAACAGAGGAAGTAGAGAAGGCTGGGACGAATCATTGCGTGGGTTAATTGGGTAGGTGTCGGCCGCGATAATTTTGCATCCCAGCTTCTAGGGTAGGAAATCCTGCACGACGCTCAAAGAAGTTGAGCGGACACAGAGACACACTTTGGTGCATTGGCCCATGTTCAAGAGATCGACATTTTACCAATCGAATTGTTGACAACTATTGATAGCAATTTGGCCATGGTGGCAAGCACATACATACTTGCATTGCAAGTTGCGCGCCATCTGTCTGCGTGTCTTTTGCACTTCCACGCGTTTCACATGCGCGTTTCAGCCTTCCAGTGACTTGCCAGCTCGGAGATTTTGCGGCGGGCATTTTTATGATTCGGCCCCATGGCAACCCGGTGACCCACAAATTCACCAGCCAAACCCGCTCAGTCACGTCATCCATGGACTACCTTAGGTACCTAGGTAAGGTACCTACCTAGCTTCTGCGGCACGTCCCTCCACCCAACCGCCGTTTTCCTTTTCAACCCAACACCTTCTTTTCACGTCACAGAAACAATCAGACTGAAGCTCTTAGACGAAACGAAACGAATCACAAACAATCACATCTTTCCCCACACAAACATCCTTCTCCTTTTCATCAGTAGGTCGTTCCAGTCTTCAACCTTCTAGCTCCGCCAAGGCCACCACACAACACACACACCACAGGAGCACCTGGACGCTGACCCCTCCGCACGATGCAGTGTCATACGCCGACGTAGCCGCCAGTGGCCCCAAGCAGACCCCCGAGGAGGTAAATACAGTACCGCATCAACACGTCGCTTAAAGAGCCCGGCCCTGCGACGGGAACCCTCGTGACGTGACAACCAGACGCTAACACCAAACCCCCAACCCCCCAGGCCGCTGCTCCCCAGCCCGTCGAACTCGTCAACACCGAATCAGTAGCCACAGCCTCCTCCCTAGACGTCGACATGCGAAGCGTCCACACCGTGCCGTCTGACTTCTCCGACCTCTCCGAGCAGCCCATCCAGACCGAAACCCAAGCCAACAGCCTGGACATCAAAACCGAAGCCGACGTCGAAGCAGAAGCCGAAGCCGCCAAGACCAAGGCCAAGGACAAGGCCAAGGTCCAGAACGCCAAGAAACAGACCGCGAAGAAGGCCCGCGAGACGGACTCATGGCTCGTGCAGCAATTCTCTGGCCTTTCGGACGGTAGCGCCAGTGCTCTGGCTGTGGCGAACTTGGCCGCTATTATCGGCGTGAGCTCCTACCTGGGCTACAAGGCATGGGGTCTCTATGAGCGGGGTAATTTGAACTGGAAGACTGCGGGAGTCGGCGTGGGTATATTGGCGGGGGTTGGGGCTGCGGAGGCGGCTTTGGGGCGATATTTGTACAAGGGAAGACAAGGGGGCTCTTAGGGGGTGAGTTTACGTGTGTGTGCGTGTTCTAGAAGTTGGAACGCACGTAGCGCGAGAAAGGGGAGAAGAAGAAGGAGGAAAGGGGGTGGTGAAAGATCGCGAATGACTTGTCTGAGTTGGGGCGTTGATTCTTCATACCGCAACGAGATTAGGTGGAATCGTTTTTTGAGTCTTGTTTTGTTGATCGGCTCTTGTTTTTTTGATGAAACTATTCTCTTGACGCTCGATTACTCGACTGGGCCAATATTTCGTGTACGATTCGTTCCGCGCCGGGCGATGGAGAATATTGTCTGTATTTGTATTTGGATTTTCGGGCAGGACAGCCGTCGGTTCTTGGTGAAGCCTCGTTCTTGTTCGAACAATTTCTCGTGCGATGTACATTTGCAGAAAAAGAGAGGATTGGGACATAGGAGTCATATACTTTGATACTTGTTTAATTCACTATAATTTTGCCGTCTATGGACCAAGGTCCTCTTGGTCTTTGGTACACCTCTACTTACTCGTACAATGAAATACAAAACATGACATCATGCCGAACTATGCAATGGGCTGAAGAGATATAGTCCTCGCTATTCCATACAATTCCATATCTCCTTGCTCTAAGCTTTTTGCTCCTTCTCCGGTCTCCCTTTTTTTCATATCCTGGTGGTGACGGTGGAGGCAGTACCATCAAGAGTCTATTCGTGCCTCATCATCGCATGGCTCTTCTACGCGGACTTGTTGCCCGCGCCGACAGCAACCTCTGATGGCTTCGATACACCGTCATCAGCCACTGACTGTTCCATGACTTTGAGTCCCGACCCCTCCGCTTCAGCTTTGTGCTGCTCAGGCGCTTCAGCTTTGTGCTGCTCAGGCGCTTCAGCTTTGTGCTGCTCAGGCGCTTCAGCTTTGTGCTGCTCAGGCGCTTCAGCTTGGTGCTGCTCAGGCGCTTCAGCTTTGTGCTGCTCAGGCGCTTCAGCTTGGTGCTCTTCAAAAGTCTGGCCTTGCGCTGCGGAAGGTGCGTCGCTCTCAGAAGCCTGGTCTTCGGCGACCTCGTCATCGTCGTCGGTCAATTCGGCGCCATAATGGTCTGGGTATTTGCGGAAGCACTCCTGCATGCCTCTGTGATATGTGTCAGCCTTACATTGCTTGTAATTACCCCAAAGAAAGAATCGATTCTTTTGTTTTGTCCTTTCTTGGTGAGTTCTTGGGAAAATGATTGGGTATGACATACTGGAACTTGTCGATGCAGTCCATGCCCTTGGGCTCATCGGTCGAGTAGACGAAGCAGCTAAACGCCGCCTTGAACTCCTCTCCACAGGGCCCGTGAGCCATTCCACCAAGGCAGGGACAATCCCAGTTGATTTCACCAGTCTCGGGGTTAAATGCAGCTTCTCGAGGGGCATCCTCTTCTAGTTCCTCCTCTGGTGAAGCAGTAGCCGCATCGGTTTGCGCCTCTATACTGGGCTGCGATTTCAGGGTCGCGGACTCGACCACTCTCGTCTCGGAAGCTGTGTTCAGGTCTTGCGTCTTAGTTTCCGGCTCCTGCCGTTTCTTGTCAACGACCGACTCGACGGTAGGGGTTTCGGATTCGGCAAACGATGAGGGCGCCGTTCTCGTCAGAGGTTCTACTTTTTTGTTTTTTTTTGCGAATCGGCAAATGTTAGCTGGGAGGAGGCCGCATTGGTGCCTATGCGTCGAAACAGAAACTTACCTTGTGCTTCTAGTTCATCCGCAAACACG